TGAGCCACCGCGCCCGGCCTGTTTTTCCATTCTTAACGATACTTCACTTAGAAGAATGGTCTCCAGTTCCATCCATGTTGTTACAAAAGGTATTAGTTCACCATTTTTTTTAATGGCTGAGTAGTACTCCATGGTATACATATACCATATTTTATTAATCCACTCATATATTGATGGGCACTTGAGTTGATCCACATCTTTGTGATTGTGAATTGTGCTGCAATAAATACCTGGGTGTAAGTATCTTTTTGATAAAATGACTTTTTTTCCTTTGGGTAAATACCCAGTAGTGGGATTGCTGGATCAAATGGTAGATCTACTTTTAGTTCTTTGAGGTATCTCCATACTACTTTCTATAGAGGTTATACTAGTTTGCCGTCCCAACAGCACTGTATGAATGTTCCTATCTCTCTGCATCCACACCAGTATCTGTTATTTTGGGACTTTTTGATAAAACCATTCTCACTGGATTTAGGTGATATCTCATTGTAGACATTTTTAATTTAATATCTCCTTTCAGTATTTTCATCAGATTGAAGGTTGGTACTAAGTATCCTAATCATATTTGGTTTAAAAACATAAATTGTGGGACCCAGATTTACAACAATTATATCTTATTTTCACAAGCCATTTCAAATTTATTTGTTTCTTTAGAATCATTTCATTCTTTTGGACAAAATCTAATTTTAAAAATTATTTTCAGACCATTAAAAATCTCAACTGAAGATTTTGGCAAACTCTGGCTATCCTTCGCAAATGATGTGAAGCAAAATGTAAAAATGTCAGAATCTCAAGCTGCTCTGCCTTCTGCCCTAAAGACCCTGCAACAGAAACTAAGACTCCACATTATTGATATTATAGGTTTGTAAAAAGGCAATTCTGTGTTTATAGAAGCTTTCTCACAATCAATACAATCAACTCTTCCAAGCATCAGATTTCTTAAAGCTGTATTTCCTATTGTGGCTATCATTTAGATGAGTGTGTTTTTGGATTATATTAAAGAATGCTTTATTGGAAAATACACATAACATAAAAGTTACCATTTTACCCATTTTTGAATGTATAGTTCAGTGGCATTAAGTACATTCACATTGTGTAACTATCACCACCATCTATCTCCAGAACTTTTTAATCTTCCTCAACTGAAACTCTGTACCCAATAAACACTAACCCCCTATTTCTCCTTCCTCCCCAGCCTCTGGAAACCACCAATTTACTTTTTGCCTCTATGAATTTAACTACTTTATATTCCTTCTATAAGTGAAACCACACAATATTTGTCCTTTTGTGCCTAACTTACTTCACTTAGCATAATGTCTTCAAGGTTAATCCATGATGTGTACTGTGTGTCAGGATTTCCTTCTTTCTTAAGCCTGAATACTATTCCACTGTATGAATATACCACATATTGTTTGTCCATTCATCTGTCAACGGATACTTGGGTTACTTTCTCTTTTTGGCTCTGGTGACTAATGCTGCTACGAGCACGGGTATA